GTTATATGTCGCCTTTTCTTTTTTTTTTTATTATATTAAGTAACATATTTGGAGTGAAATTTTGAGAATTGTTAGTTAATGTCAAAAGGTTCGTGAATTATTGGTATGACGATAAAATATATACAATCGTAACGATACCTTCTTTCTAAATCTTCCGCTCGTGGATTTTCGACATCATCAGACTCGATGGCGCGTTGACCGACTTGTAGGAGCGGAGTGGGGCACATCAGCGAGGTCACACCTGTTCGCGTTTCGCCCCCTCGCGAGGGCGCGCTCAGCCCCCGGGGGTGGTGAAAACGCAGGGGGCCTATTTTGGTCCATCGGTACCTGCGTGCGGTGGCGGTTTCCACCAAAGGGTTGTCCGACGGGGAAAAAGTGGCGCCCAGATGCCAGGTGGTCAGGGGTCGACGACTCGCTGGAAAACGAAGAGCGATCTATGTATGAATCACACGCGTTACTTTATCTGCCTTTTTGCGACTTATTTCAAAAATTACAGTGACGAACCGTCACTTATAACACGGCGGATAAATCAAATAATAGTATTATATAACTCATCCAATCGACCACCTACGTACTGGAAATGCAACATGTATTGGAGCGGTTTTTCTCGGAAAAATTGGGAAAATCAAAATTTACTTAATTTTCTTTTCTATTTTAAAATGGTAAATTAATTGAAATCTTTGATTTTTTTTAAGAAATATTGATAAAAATTAAGTCTAAATCTGGTAGATCCGAGTTTGACAATCATTTTCTTGCTGTGTTCCTGATTTAGACCAAATAATATTGTAAAATTTTGTAATTAATATGTTGTAACCGCTTAATATGTACGACTTCTTAAATCGAAAAGAAAATTCTGGTAAAAGATCGGAAAATTTTGAATTTGAATTTTATAAAAAACTGCAATGGTGGCGAGGGAGTAATTGGAAATATAGTTAATATGCTAAATAAAATTTCAAAATTTCCGAGAAACATTGATTTGAATTTGTTAGATCACAATCCGATTTAAAATTTCACAGAAGAAAACAAATGAAAGTACAAATTTCATTTGTTTCGGAAAAATTTGGATTGTCGACCGCGTCATAGAATTTCCTCGGGTTTTGGTCCCGGGAAATCAAAATTTTCTTCGCATTATATCGAATTTGCCTAGTTTGGGTCACGATGGCATGCAAATAATAGTAAAAATATCGGGAAAACTTACCTTGCGGTGCGCTTTTCCAACCATGCTGACCGCCGCGTTCCGGGGCCTCCGGGTCTCGCTGAAGCACGTCAACGGCGAACTGCAGCTATCGGGAGTGGATTCGAATGCGACCGGCCGCGGCGAGGCAGCAACAACATAGAGATAGAGGCAACGGCGGCTACCAACGCGTCGTTGTAGTAGGTTGGTTGGTTGGTTGGTTGGTTGGTAATACACCATACATGGGCCGAATACCTTTTATGGTTATGGCATTGTCGTCGTGGCGATACTACTTATTCTTTGGCTACCGGGCTTTGATGGGCGCTTCTCTTCTCTTCGCAAAAAGTCGCGGTCCGCGGCACGTGCTATTGTCTCTCTTGTTGATGTCCGCGAAACATTCGCAACTATAAACCGCCCCACCGACGAGACGCTTAACTCGAGCATCGCTTGTTAATACTTCATTCGGTTCACCCTTCAACATCACAACACTCGGCCCGTTTCCAACGGCCATATGTACATACATATCTACGTACACGCAGTCAAAAGCATTTTGATACATGATTTCAGCTTCTTATAAAGGATTGTGTAGGACCTCGTCTACTTTATTTACTTGAAATTATCTAAAACGAAATTGTAATGACAATTTTTTATTTGTATTACATATTTCGTTTGCCTACTATTTATATCAACTGTCTTTTATCTATTAAATCTCGTCGGAATGTTCTGAACGTATCCGGAAACTTCCTGTAAGTTCTTAGTCCGCTGTATGATTTATGGCTTACGGCTGCATCAAAGGTACCGTACTTTAAAGTGTTTCCAACCACATTCTTTAAGCGGTTCTTTACTTGTAGGCAAAATAAAATTTTTTTTATAAAAATCAACATATCTTATCAGTCTTGATGATGATTATGTTAGAAAGTACTTTTAATCGCATCGGGCGCTAATAGGTATTTCGTATGGTACTTCTCTCTCTCTTGCATCAAAATTTATCCAGTAGCTCTAGCGCTTTATGACAGACAGACAGACAGATAAATGCTTCTCTACAACTGCGTCTAATAACAGATAAAATCTGGTCTCATTTTACCTGCATAAATTGGATCCATTACCAGTTTCAGTTTTGTCCTAAATTTTCACTTAGGAAATAGGATTATTTAATTTTAATTTTAACCCTTAATAATTTATTACCTTTTGACCCATATTAAGAATATATATTTGTCTCGGTAACCTGTTGCAGATCTGGTAGTAATACGCTGACTTATGAAGTTCTGTTTCGCGTTTTGCCAAGAAGTTGTCGGGTTTCTTTCTTGATCTAACGTTGAAGTCTCCAAGCATTTATAGGGATTGTAGGCAAACCAGTGGATTTTAAGGGTCGTTTTTTTCACTTATCTATTACAACGTCATATGTAGTCCTTGATATATGCAAATTTATATTTTCCACAGGACCAAAGCCTTCTTACGCATAAAAATATTGAACAAGAACTAACGTTTTGCTCAGAACAGTACAGTTTAAGTTGTTTTATTTTAACGTTGGTGCCTATAACTGTGGAAATCAATAAGAAATAGGCGAGATAGGTTGGTAGGACAGTCATTAAGGCCTAGTTAAGGACACTAAGCAATAGTTAAGGATACGGGATGTTCTAGTTTTAAGGAAATACGAAGATTACTTCATGATAGGAAAAAGTGGATGTGCGTATCCAACCAGTCACGAATTTTAGGATCTTGCCAAAATCGTCCAGTTTATTGATTTCAGCACACCTTCTGTACACTAATACGTAATAAAGCGGTTATTATTGATGTAAACGTGCAGGCAAACATTTTATATACGAAAATTTGGCTTATTTAAAGTGGGCAGAAGCCCATTATAAATGACGCTGCAATTATAAATTTGGAAGTTAATTTTCGCCAGAACGAGCGCGCTTTGTCATTTTTATGTAATTTAGCACAACCGTTGCTTACATCTTTTTAATTAGCGGGGAAATTCTTGAAAAATTTTTGCTCGTTGATCGCTTAACCAGAGCTAGGGCAGATGTGGGAAGGTGCAAGAAGTGCAGTATTTTGGCAATAACGAGCTTCCGATATCTTACCTGTCCGCGGGACTGACTGCATCTGGCGTTTTACCGAATAAATTGTTAATTATACGAGACATTAACGAAATCTACACAACCGAATTTCAATAGGTACATGTAGTACATGTATTATGGAAACTTTTCAAAATTATTGCTACTTTAACAAGTGTCGCCTATAATCATTAAAAAAGCAGGGTAATTTGAAGAATAAATCCGTAGCATCTCATGACGATGCAGTTACGGAATTCTGAGTAAAATTTTGATACCCCTAGGGGTATAGTAGAGGTACCTCCAGTTTAACCAGTGTCTCCGGAACCTTAACGTGTATCACCACGTTTAGGGTTTGTATCTCTTGCTACGGTAACGTACTACAGATTAGGTTTTCATGTTGTGGATTAATCTTTTAAAGGACTTGCCATTCTACGGGGATTTACGAGGGTGGATTGATAAGTTTCCGGCCTAACCAAGAGATGACGCCACTAGGCCTACCTTGAGGTGACATTCTATAGTACCATCCTTGGATAGCTTGTAGCTATAGTTTCAGCCCGATCTCCTTGCTAGTGTAGGTTNCAAATAGTTAAGGATGTGGGCTGTTCTAGTTTTAGGGAAATGCGAAGTTTAGCTCAGGATAGGAAAGAGTGGAGGTACATATCCAACCAGTCTTAGGACTGACGACCTTATGATGATGATCATGAAGGATCTTGCACGCTCTGTAATATAAGGGGAGGTCTCCTTTCTGGAGAAATAAGCAAGGATTCAGCGTGGAATTTAGAAACGATTTAATAGACATTTGCATATTAAAACACAAAAAAAAAACGTTTTTGTCTTGTAATCAGAATGTACGGAACTGACACATTACACAATTCAAATTAAAGACAGATGGATAGCTTAGGCCTTTCGTTAAATCAAAATCTTTTATAAAAAAATTCGAAGTGGTGGTAGAAAACAATTGCGGAAAAGTGAGCGAGTTTAAATGTCTATAATTGGGTGTAAAGTTGGTTGCAAATACACCGTAAAAATGTCTCTAAACTGTAAATTTTCATACACCACGGACGATCGATGTTTATAATGTAGCGTTAAAGAAAAATTATAAGATTTTCTTCTCATGCATATTGAATAAAACACCCTAAATGTCCCTACTAAATTTTTGAAAAATAGTATATTTAGATACTAAACACAAACTAAATAGAAACTTGAGAAACTAAACACTTTGCTAAGCAAATAATTGTTACCATGTTATTTTAAAACCCGTTAGAAGAATAGTTCATATTTTAAATTAATTACCGCCATAATTTTGACATTCCGTGAATTTTAACAAAATTAGTCGGTCGTCAGATGCAAAATTACTGACTTTGTGTAGGTACGTGTACAACGTACCCGTTGTAGGTTGAGAATATTTACAAGAAGTTAAATTAAAAGGCAGCACGAGGCATCTCCTTGTAATTAGCAATAAATTTAAACATGCTGCTGTTTGACATTACCGCGACATACAGAACATGCATTTACATGAGGTTTTTTTTTTAAAAAAAACGGTTACTTTTCGCATTACAATATACAGTATATAGGTACATACGTAACTGTATTTTCGTAAATAATTTTTATTAATAAATGAAGTCCTTTTCCACCATATTTTGAAGTATAATTAAACAGTAGATTCTAATTGTTTCAATATACTTCAACATCAGTACATGGCATTCAACATGAGGACACAAACGTCTATTCTTTTCCGAATACTGTAGCATCCCAAAATCTAATCTAGATTCTTCTCATTAGCTTTTAATGTCTCTAACAAGCCCTTCTTGTCTCATACTATTTCTAATACCTCATTTTTAATATTTTTACACTTTCATTTCCAAATTAACCGTTCGAGACCGCTTATTTATTTTTGTAATCTGACCAACTACATACATACATACATAGAAAATGGGCCCCAGTTTTTATCTAATCCTAATAATAATTTCTCCTGTTTTATTTTCATTGCTTTTTAACCCAAAAAGAATTATAATTATTTACCTAATACCTGTTAGTTATTGGAAAATGTGTCAGATAATCGATGCCCACAATCATCGCGGAATATTGCTTCATACAATTAGGAAATAACTGTCCCATTTTAGCAATAATACGGGGGTAATAGTACGTTCAATTATGAGGTAATTTAGATGTTTTTCTACAAAGAAACGCGATTTCTAGCCTTGCCGATTTATTCCCAATCATTATCTCTAGAATTGAACTGAAAGTAGTTTGTGAACGCAATAATCCTTAAGAAATAAATAAAGGCCGCACATTCGCACATATACACACGCTTTTAGAGATTTATAATTGATTAGAAGACGTAAATTTTATTCAGAGGCATAAAAATGATAACAAACACCCATTTTCACTTCCTGATTTTTCGTAGTTGTTATTAGTCTCGATATCGGTTTAGTTAATCCTTAATAAGGAAACTAAATGCTTTCATTTTTGCATAAAAATTCTATAAATGTTGTAATCAATCTACAAGTGACAGACATTTGATGATTTGTTCATTGTTAAAATTTCTTTGCTGTTATCCTCGAGGTATTACCGTGTCCTAGTTCAAAATAGCTTAAATATTTAAGGAAAAATCTGGAGTAACCTAAAAGTTAAACAATTTGCTTGATTCTTTTATAAATCGAACATTATTCCTTATATGCTACGTCTTGACTACAACCAGAGAAAGTTTTTCATAAATCAGTGCAAGAATTTTAAACAATAGTATCTTATTAACGCGTTTAGCTCGTGTTGTTTATGAATTTGTATCACGCATCCGATTGTGTTTAATGCATACCATGAGGCACATCATTGGCACCTGTGTCATGTACATGCAGTTAGTCATTTTATTGTTATTAAAGTGGAGGACGGGGCTTTATTATTATTTTTTTTTTCTATTCTTTATCATGGCGGATGCTTTGCGGTGCTAGAAATGAAAGTACGATATCGTTATTAATCTTACGTAGGTTAATAGCATAATTATTCAGGGAATGTTTATTGAATTCTAATATACGCCGCTGTACAGTCACTCGTATTATTAAAAGGTGACATTAATTATTATTGTTATTATAAATAACCGTGCGAATAAAATTCATTTATGTATATCAATTATATTACGTGTGTTATATGCAGATAAAGGAATTTTTTTATTGCATTTTAAAACTAAACTGTCTGTTAATTTTCTTTCGTAATTATTGATAAAATTGGGCTTGGAGATCTATATTTAACCCTTTGTTATTTTTA